TCTCAGCAGGGAGTGCACTTTCTGCTAGGGAAGCCTCGCCATACCCACTGCTCCACTACATCCTCGAATTTGAAGTCTTTTCTGGAATTTGACGGAAGACTGGTTTCCCGGTAACATCCAACATCGATCCCAACGCCCTTCATGTTACCAACTCCATAATCAGAATAGCAACAAATAACTTCATGGACAGCCTACTGAACACCATCAGTCAATAAGTACCTCCACCAGATAACTGTGCAATAACTCCTGCTTATCATTAAAACATGAACTCAAGAGATTGAGAACCAATAACTGAACCTCTCCATTGCAACTAAAAGAATATTGGTTTGATCAAAACGAATAACCCTGAGCTGAGCACATATGTTTTCTCTTATCTTTACAAATTAAAACAATCCCACCTGCAGGCCAGAAGGAAAGGTCCGGTCACCCTCATGGGTTGTTTTAGATTCTCCACCCACGGATGGGTGGAACGGGTCTTGGAGGACCCATAGGGCGGTCGCCAGCTGACACAGGCCCCTCCCCAGTGGTGCCCAACCACAGCAGTAACCTCCCCAGTAAACACCCTCGTGGGTGGATATCAACACACAAGGTTCGCCCAGCTTCACTCATGGCTTCGTTTATGCATTTAATTCAAATCCCATGAACAAAAAGGTTTCAGAAAGAACGTGTTCATTCCTAGTATAGCATTTAGGTGTATGGTTGGCTTCCTTCTTAGAACTTCAGTGGTGTAGTTGGTAATGCCTTGGCACAGTAATTGTGTCCTAGGTTCGAGTCCTGGCTGGGGTAAAATATGATTCATGTTTTCACATATGTTAATGTGTTTGATTGTTGTTGATGTCCATTTAGATTGGTATATGAATTAAATGCAAACAAAGAGTGAGGTTGGGAGAAGCTGTAATAAGGACAAAAAGGCATTCAGAAAGAATGCATTCATTTCTAGTATAGCAATTAGCTGTAATGTTGGCTTCTTCTTTAGACCTTCAGTGGTGTAGTTGGTAGCGCCTTGGCACAGTAATTATGTCTTAGGTTCGAGTCCCGGTGAGGGTAGAATATATTCATGTTTTCATATATGTTATTGTGTTTGATTATTGTTGCTGCCTATTTAGATAGGGATTTTAATTAAATGCACTTTCAGACAGAACTCTACCTCACCTTATATCTGCGTCACTCTTTGCTTCCCACACCACTACCTTTCCTTTTACTTTCCAGTTAATCTCCCTATGCACATTGCCTCGGCACACTTCATGAAACAACCCCATTCTTTCACTCCTTCCTCCACTTTCTCTTTCACTACATTCCACACATTCCGCAGCCTAGCCTTATTTTCATAGTCTTTCTCTTTCTTATTCAATTCACTCACTTTTAGCACCCCCCTTCCCCTCTTGCTTCTCCTCTTTCTCCACTTTTCTCCCACTGTCACTCTACTTTTGACTAAATAATGATCAGATATTTCACCATTAGCTCCTCTCAGTACATTCAAGTCCAATACGATTCCAATCACCCTCCTGTCCACCACAGCAAAATCCATTAATGCTCTCTCTACTATTCTACCATTATCTACTCTGACCCCTGTATACTTTTACACTTCCTTCTTTTTAAATACATAATTAGCAATCAACACCTCTTTCAGTACACATTTCTATAATTTTCTCTCCACTCTCATTCTTATCTGGTACTCTATACTTCCCAATTACACCATCGACTGGCTCAATCCCTACTCGAGCATTCAAGTTTCTCATCTACACCACATTCACATTCATTCTCAAGTCTTCCACACACTCGTTCAATTTCATCCAAAATTCTTCTCTCTCTTCCTCACCTCTTTAACTTCCAGGGCCAATTGCACTTAAAAATGGCCAAACCTCACATCCCAGTCTCATTTTAACCACCATTATTCGAAATGATGATTCCTTCCACTCCACCACACTTATTTATATCTTCACTTACCAAAAGAGCCACTTCCTCTCATCCTCTCCCTCTTTCCACTCCAGACACCCTACCTACCACTTCCCCAATTGCCACCTCACCATTCAGTTTTATCTTTGTTTTGCTCAGTGCAAGTACATCCATCTTTCTCTCCACAAATATATTCCCTATCACCTCCCTTTTACTTTCACTTATACCACAACCACGCACATCCAGAGACCCAATTACCAGGGTTCTGGCTGGATCTCTCCTGCCAGAATACCGCCTCATCTCTTGGCCACTCGTAGGATGATAAATACAGAGGGGAATCCCAGTACCCTTGCTGTGCCCCATTTAGTCGACAATTTCGACATGCTGGGAACACTTAAGGAAGTATTTTACCCTTCTCCCTTAGGGGAGGGATTAGGTAGGAACAAGAAAACAAATTTTTTAATGTATATAAATGGAAAAATAGATTGATGAAAAAAAAAATAGGAAGAAAAGAAAAATGATGCTGATAACCAGAAAGAGCTAAGGAAGTGGTAACTTGCTAAGGTCTCATTCTCGGAACTGCACCAGCTGGCTGATGGGCTTACACTGGAAAGGTTGGGTGAACTGCTCTCAACCTCTTACATTTTTTCTCTCTGTGTTTCCATTGTCTTATCTGGTGGAGGGAACTGGCTAATAATGCTAGGAGTTACAGGGGTTCCAGTCTTCTGTCGTTTTTCTTAGAAGACTTCACATTTGAGGATGTAATAGAGGAAGGGTTGTGGCATTGCTTCCTGGTAGAAAGTACACTCCTTGGTGATACGTTCTATCCGTTTGCCAGGTGCAAATGGAGTCTTTAAATGTTGACTGCTGTGCTTCTGTCAAGGTTCTTAGGAAGGGTGATGCAAGTTGGTTACGGTTTTGTGCTAAAACGTAGAGGCAAATCAAGTGTCCGTGCACTGCTTGTGTCTTGGCTTTGATTTGGACGGTACTGGGAGGCAGGGATATTTGAATCTCTACCTGGTAAGAGGCTTGCTTGGTTACGTGGTCGGCTTCTTCGTTTTCCTTGATACAGATATGGCTGGGTATTCAAGCAAAAGTGACATCCTTGCTTATGTTCATGGCTCTGTGGTAAAGATGAAGTATTTTGGTGATGGTTCTCACATTGTTTCTGGGATTTATCTTCTTAATAGCCTGAAAGGTACATTTGGAGTCTGTGAAAATGAGGGTGTGGGTCTCATTTAATTTAACTATATGTATTACCCTCTTATTTATTAGTTTAATTACATGTCTACTTATAAGTTACTATTAATGTTGAATAACCATTGTGCAAAATGGAAATAAATGTTTGTTTGTTTGTTTCTTGAAGAGTGAAGCATGTAAGGGCATTGGCCTGTGCTATCTGGCTCTTTGAGTTTAGGGATGCGCAGAATATCAGCGTTGTTCCATGAATCTGGTCTGACTCTTTGGGTGCAAGTGCAATTTATAAGCGAGTTCCCCTTGGGGCCCCAGATTCTGAAATTGAATCTGAATCATTGAATACGCGATTCTGTCTGCCCCAGGGGCTGTGTTCTTAGAGCTCTTACTCATCTTCCCATCTTGCAGTGGTGAGACCCTGTAGAGTTCTTCTGGTCGTGACGGGGAGCTGCTCTGAGTTGGCTCAGCGAATTTGAGGGAGAGCTCTTCTGCTACCCTGCTTGGTTCCTTGTATTGTATGGTTCTTGGAGGTCTTCCCTTGGCAAATTAATTTATAATTCATTTAGGCTGCCACTCGTCTGTTTGTTGTTATCTTCTTGTGTGTGTTTGTGTGTATTTAGTTGTTGATGGGCTATCATGTGTACTTTTTTGTAATTGGGACAGACTAGATTCTGCTTTATGAAGCAAGGGCTTAATATATTACGAACTGACTTATCTCATTATATTGCAATCGGGAAATTTTTCTCTTTTTCCTACACTGTGATAGGATTATTTTACTTTCTTATTTTTGTGTGTGTATATTATTGGACTCATTTTGTGTAAAGCTGTATTCATGCACTATATTCAGACTTTGGGTTTGAGGGAAGCTAAAGAAATATTTTTCCAGTGAAAATAGGTGGAAAAAACTACCATAGAACCGCCTGGATCTAGTAGCAGTATATAACCAAACCTAGCCCCATTTAACCCTCAGTTGGTGCAGTGGTGTAGTACATTGTGTGGTTATTCTTTCATGCTCTTTGCAATGCCTCTAGTATACAATACTCTGAAAAAAGCGTTTTTTTTTTTTTTTTTTTTTTTTTAAAGGATGGGATAGGATAGGAGGGGGAAAAGGGGAGGGGATTAAGGACATAAGGGACTTGGAGGGAAAAGTAAGAAAATTAAATATAGTAAAAGATAAAAACTAGAGGGGCAGACCCTCGTGCTAAGTTTTGATCTGGAATTCAGATTCTGTTTAAAAAAGCGTGCAACCTTGTATGTGTGGTAGCTTCCTCAAATAGTATTAATAATTATACAAGGGCATTGTTTTAATTAATATCATATGTTTTTTATTTTAAATTTAATCATAAACATTGGTAATAATTATGCATTCTCTATATTATTTACAATGTTATATTTAAGCATAATATATTTATCTTTTTAAAAACTGTTATTCCAGACTCGGTTTGAGTTTGGTTGGCTGTCGGATGAGCATACTTACCTGGCACAGGGGACACCGTGATCACGAAGGCGGTTCCTCCAGGGTGAGGCTCACCATTGCACTCCGGTGGTGCTGACCCCTGCGATTGACCCAAATGCGGTCAACTCGGGTGCGCAATTTTTGGTAGCAGGGGACTGCGTTCGCGCTATCCCCTTACAAATTACTCTGTGCATTAGTTAATACTTTATAACGCAAACTATCAGCTTAACACTTTTTAAATGTTATCATTTCTACTGATTGGGGTATATTTATAGTCAACAGTAGATCATTAGAATCCTGTTTCAGTTGAAAATTTTTAATGTGCCCTAAATTTGTTCAAAAGCGTGCCCATTCACATAATAAGATTAGCAGCGGTGTGCCATACATCTAGATTGCATTATCAGCGAATAACATCATATTTTACCCCCATTGAGTAAATGTTGAGAAATTGGATTGGTCCTAAAGGGAATCGAAACCTTGACATCTGTGTTATTAGCGCAGTGTCCTGACCAACTGAACTAACAGGCTATTTTCTAAATTCCATATGGTCAAAGTACAGTCTTATATAAGACTTTTGGAAACGCAGAACTGTACTTTTGAACATATGGAATTTAGAAAATAGCCTGTTAGTTCAGTTGGTCAGGGCACCATGCTAATAACACAGATGTCGAGGTTTCGATTCCCTTTAGGACCAATCCAATTTCTCAACATTTACTCAATGGGGGTAAAATATGATGTTATTCGCTGATAATGCAATTTAGATGTATGATACACCACTGTTAATCTTATTATGTGAATGGGCACGCTTTTGAACAAATTTAAGGCACATTAAAAATTTTCAACTGAAACAGGATTCTAATGATCTGCTGTCGACTATAAATATACCCCAATGAATAGAATTGATAACATTTAAAAGTATTATGCTGATAGCTTGCATTATTAAGTATTAACTAAAGCACAGAGTAATTTGTAAGGGGATAGCGCGAACGCAGTCCCCTGCTACCAAAAATTGCGCACCCGAGTTGACCGCATTTGGGTCAATCGCAGGGGTCAGCACCACCGGAGTGCAATGGTGAGCCTCACCCTGGAGGAACCGCCTTCGTGATCACGGTGTCCCCTGTGCCAGGTAAGTATGCTCATTCGACAGCCAACCAAACTCAAGCCGACTCTGGAATAACGGTTTGTAAAAAGATAAAAATATTATGCTTAAATATAACATTATACATAATATAGAGAATGCATAATTATAATCAATGTTAATGATTAAATTTAGAAAAAAAATATTTGATCTTCATATAAAACAATGCCCTTGTATAATTGTAAAAAAGACTTACCAAAAATAATTTAATGACTCTCGACATGATATAGCGGCAACATGGAATGTGATAAGCATGATACCAAATTAAAATACCTCAGAAAGTTATGAAAATATTACGGAGTTGAAAGACATAGCGGAAAACTCTAATAACTATTTTGCTAACGTTGGCAAAAATACATATGAAAAACGCGAGAAAACATCAACTCCGTGAATATGAGTAATTTCTTAAATTACAATTCTTCCAATGTAAACACAAGAGAGTACTTCAAGATAAATCCTATCTATTGTGCTACCCTAATTCTTACCATAAAGAGACTAAGAAACTCTGGCTCTTATGGTTCAGATGGTATACCATTTCAGTTCATCAAAGATGCTTTACCCATGATTGTATCTTATATTCTAACTATTATGAACACTTCCATTGTTACTAAAAAGTTTCCTGACTCTTGGAAAATATCACATGTAATACCTCTGCAGAAAAAGGGGGACAGAGATGTGTCAAACTATCGTCCCATTTCCCTGCTACCCATTTTCTCTAAAATATTAGAAAAAAATGTTGCATGCCAACTTGTCATATTTAGAGTCAAATAGACTATTATCTATTAACCAACATGGTTTCAGACCGAAACTCTCGACGGAAACTGCACTGCTCAAAGTAGCGAATAGTATCTATAATAATATAGATATGAAAAAAAATATCTATGCTTGTATTATTGGACTTATCAAAAACCTTCGACAGTGTAAACCATGAAATTCTTTTAAGTAAATGTACTAACTTAAATACTGATCCGAGCTGGTTTAGCGAGTATCTATCTAATCGTAAACAGTCTATACGTCTTAACAACATTATCTCTGTGCCAAAAAATGTATCATTTGGTGTTCCACAGGGATCAGTACTTGGTCCTATCCTCTTCTCCATTAATGTAAATGATCTATCTTCTTTCATTTCTGACTGTCTAGTCGTACAGTATGCAGATGACACTCAACTACTCCTTAGTGGTGATATTAATAATCTCCCAGAGCTAACTTTAAGAGCAGAAAACACTCTGTCAAAAATTAAAACCTATTTTCGATAAATTGGGCTGTTAATTAACGAAAGTAAAACACAATGCATGTTTATTGGTTCAAGGTTCCGCATAGCACAAATTCCAGAAAACAACAATTAATTTTTGAGACAATATTATCACACTTAACAAAACAGTCAAAAACCTAGGAATTCACTTTGATAACCACATGTTGTTTGATTCCCACTTAGATAAAGTATGCAAAAAAGTTACAGGAACATGTACTTATCACGTATAAAAGACAATTTTGAGACTACCACTCGAATAACTGTTGTTGAATCTCTAGCCCTAAGTCACATTAATTACTGCACAACTGTTTGGGGAGCTACCACTAAGACTAAGATAAACCGAATACAGAAACTTGTTAATTTTGCAGCTCGAGTTGCCCTGGGAGGAATAAGAAAATATGACCACATCACACCAGCTCTCAATAAAATTGGGTGGCTGCGGGCAGAAAACGAGGTCGCTTATGCTATTTATGTTTTTGTATTCAAAATTTTGGACCATCATTATCCTAGCTGGCTATTTGATTTAAAAACAGTCAGGGATATAAGGGAAACCAACACAAGACAGCAGTGAGCTCTTTATTCACAGAACAAACACAGAAGCAGGTTCAAAGATGATCACTATCAAAGGGCCAACACTGTAATCATATTCCAGAGCATCTTAAAAATGCATCCTCCTTCACAGCTTTCAAAGGCAAACTATGTAGTTTTCTTCTGGACAAATAGTTGCTGCTCATTAAGAACTAATTATTCTCATTTTAAGGAAAACAAATATGGAAATGATGCCGTTAATAACGATACTGTATCTAGTGTCATTATTACTACTTTATTATTAACATTATTGTTAAAATTTTTATTACAGCTTTATTAGTTTCTATGAAAGCTACATTTAATTTAACTATATGTATTACCCTCTTATTTATTAGTTTAATTACATGTCTACTTATAAGTTACTATTACTGTTAGAATAACCATTGTACAAAATGGAAATAAATGTTTGTCTCTCTCTCTCTCTCTCTCTCTCTCTCTCTCTCTCTCTCTCTCTCTCTCTCTCTGGAAATTGTATAGTTATAAAGGCTGGATTTTGAGGGTTATAATAATACTAGTAATAATAATAATAATAATAATAATAATAATAATAATAATAATATTATTATTATTATTATTATTATTATTATTATTATTATTATTATTATTATTATTATTATTATTTCATGTATGTGCTAGGAAGCTACCAAAGAAGATGTCCTTGCTGATGGAGGAGGTTGAACTGTAAATTCTTTAGCCATATCTGTGTTTGTGTAGGATGAAGCAGCTATCATTGATCGGAGAGTAGGATGGATTAGTCACATCCCTTCATTTCTTTAGGCAGCTGAGTTAAGAGGCTTTACATTTGTAGCCACCTTGCTAGACTGTTCTGGACAGGGTGTCTCACTTTCAAGAATAGTAATACTTCAGCACTATATAAAGACCAACATCCAACCTTGTTGTTGTTGTAAATATATTTCCCAAAGGTGGAACAGGTCATAGCAGACCTGTAGGTGAGTATTATCTTGTGGCTAAGGTCTTGTCTCATATGTGAAATGTAAGACACATTCTTATCAAGGTTATTACAGTCACATTTATGTAAAAACTAAGCAGAAAATGTAGGAAAGATGAAAGGGGTATTTAAATTGGACAGATTGGAAGAGGGAGAGCTGTTTGTCCAGAGTTCTTTCTTATAAACCCAAGGGGACCACAAAGAAGGAAGGGCTAAAGAATGATAGGATAGAGTGAATTCTAAGAAATATTAAAATAATAGTTAAGAAAGATAATTTTTTTAGTTCATGTAGGCAGATTTAAGGGCCAAGCTAGTGTATTACAGGAATCGCTCTGTAACATGCTTAGATTGTTGTTTTTGGTCTTCTATCTTGGTGGTGGGTATTGGCTGATTGTGTATTGAAGGATATCCATGTGGTTCACAGCCTAGTTTAAAATATGATTTTAAGCTTATAGGGCATCGGGCTTGTTGTTTATTTTTGGGGACTCCGATCTTCTGTCTGACTTCCTTGGAGGCTTAATTTCTAGGATATCATGGAGGAGAGACTTTTGACTTCTTTGTGACAGAATGCACACTCCTTGGTGACAATGTCCAAGACTTTCCTGTTGCTTTTGTATCCCAACCTTAGTCTGTAGACACTAACTGCGATGCTTTTATGGAAGCTCTTTGGTAGGTCCAGGTATCGAAGACTGATGACTGCTTTGTACCAACAAGGTGGAGGCTGCTCCAGTGTCTTCTCAGCCTGAGTTTTTTCCAATATTTTGGTGACCCTCGTCTTGATTTGCTGAATGCTTAGAGGTAGGGATATTCAGTCATCTGTTGGGAGGAAGGCTTGTTTAGCTGCGTGGTTGACATCTTTGTTTCTTTTGAAGCCGGCATGGCTACGGATCCAGGTGAATCTGGTGGATTTTCCTGTCTTTATCCACATAGGGGCTTTTAGCATCGTTCTTATAACAAGTTTTCTGATTGACCTCAATCTTTTTATACTCTAGGTCCGATTTGAGACACAGGGTAGGACATGCCTAGATCACGAAGCTTCTTGTGGATTAAATGTAAAATTTTCCTTTGGGACTGAAATTTGCACCTTCATATATGCATGGAAATTAAGGACTGACTGGTGTATATATTGGGTCCATGGTTAGTGAGCTGTCAGAGAAGACTCCCTGCTACTTATATTTGTTGACCCATTCCACCATGTTTGTGTCTAATTTTGGCATGTTGATAGCAAGGACTTTTTTCTTGAGGGGATTAATATTTAACCTAAGCCTGACAGAGACTCTGCAATCGTGTTAGGCTCTCTGAGCCAGGTATAGGGAATCACAGTCTCTTGCTATCAAAGCAAAGTCATATGCGCAGTTGAAAATCTGCATTCTTGATAGTTGCAAATATTTATGATCTCCATGAGGTAGTTAGGAAGTGGCTAAGGTTGCCACCAATCCATGTCTCATTTTTTTTTTACTCTCCTCCTCCCTGTAATTCTATCTTCTTCCCTATTTTCCCTTTACCTTAACCTCCTCTTTATTCTTCTTAACCTCCTTTTCATTCCCATCCTCCTTCTTGATTTTATACTTTATTATTTTCTTTTCCCATTCCTCCTCCT